GGGCCGCCCAGCCCCCCAGACTCCACCCCCCGCCAGCGCTGCTTCCCTCCTCTCTTCTTCCAGCACCCCCCCAATCCTTTCCTCCACCCCCCAGCCCCCAATCTCCCCCAGCTCTGCTTTCCACCCCCCTTCCGGCCAGCCCCGCCCCCTTCCCCTCCCTCTGTGGCGTGCTGCACCGCTCAGCTGAGCACAGGGAGCGAGGACCTCAAACGGCCGCTTGCTGCTGCTTGCTCCCCCGCTGGGGCCCGGCCTGACAGGAGGAAGACAGAGCCGTGGACTCTCCATCCCTTGGAGCCAATGGCCAGGGTGGGAGGCAGAAGGGGCGAGCCCCTCGCCCAGGCCTTTCCCCGCCTAGAGGGCCTGGTGAGCTGCAGACCCTCGAGGCTGGTGTCTGCTCTGCACTCCAGCAAATGCCAGGGTTGCTGTGGCCTGGGCTGGGTGGTGGTGGTGCAAACCCCTGGAACAGCAGCAGGAAGCCACATTCCCTCTCCCCCTACGGCGCACGCTCACGACACCTCTCCTCCCTGCAGAGGCGCTGGCCGAACCCGAGCTGTGCTACGTCCTGGATGCCATCCTGTTCATCTACGGCATCGTCCTCACAGTCCTCTACTGCCGCCTGAAGGTGAGGCTCCGGGGCCGCGCTCCCCTCCCTGCAGGCCTTCAGCTCCCGAAATGACCAGAAACGACCAGGGAAGTGGGGGCGGGGGTTGGGAGGCTCCATCTCTGCAGTGGTTCATGGGACCAGCGCCTCTTCCCGGTGAAGCGTGGGGCACATGGGCAGAGCAGTGCTGCAGGGAGAGCTGCGCCTCCTGCCTTAGCAGAGCCGGGGTAGCCGGCAGAACTGGTCTCGCATCAGCCAGCAGTGCTGGGCTCTTCTTTCAGCCAACGATCCGCGCTCCCCGGCCCCCCTTGCAACACGCTGGCCCATGGCCTCTCTGCCGGGGTTACCCCAATGCAGAGGAGCTCCCAGCTGGCACAGCTACGCCTCCCGCCCATCAGCTGCTGGCACCAGGGGAAGGGGGAGGGCAGTGCAGAGGAAGTGGGTAGGGCAGACATGGGGATGGGTGAGTGACTGGCGCAGAAAACACGCCAGCAGCAGCAATACCCAGCAGAGGCAGGGGGGCATCTCTCCGCCCTCTGCCCTCCAGAGGGAAGGTTGGACCAATCGTTCGGGCTCTAGGAGATGGGAGCGCTGGGGTTCATTCCAGGCTCTGCCGTAGGCGTATCTACGCCGTGGCTGGGAGCTCAGTTGCCGGATTTGCTCACATTTGGAAATGGCTGCGTAGCCGGGGTAGCACCTCAGGCCGGCACCTTCCAGAATACAAGCCCACTCAGACTCTGGATATGGACCTGGGTGGCTAGCCCGAGCTGCTGGGGCTACAATAGCAAGGGGTCCAGACTTCGCTCAGACAGTTTAGTGCAACCCCACGGCTGCTTTACAATGCGGTGGCCCTGGGTATTAGCACCCACCCCGCCAGCTGAGAATTTGACCTCCAAAACATTTCAGGGGCTAGTTGCTCTCTAATTCTTGCTTTTCGTTTCCTTCTTCAGCTCCAGGTTCGAAAAGCACCCAAGGCTGACGTGACCGCAGGCTATGATGTACGTCCTTTCAGCTTCCTGGCACTTACTCCCTGGCCCGGGCCTTGTGGGGGTAGCAGACAGACACCTCTCATCATCTGCGGCATCTTTTGCTTTAGTCCGTGTCTCATGGCCCCTCAGTGCAACCCGGTCCAGAGCTGCTGGATGGCTTTGGTGGTGCTGCACAGCCCAGCTCTCCTCTGGGGTGCACTGGGATCAGGGGGCTGTTTTGGATGTGCTGACAGGAGGGCCCTTACGCTGCACTGCAGGGAGGCCTGGTGCGATGTGGGAAGCAGTCCAGGGACCCAAACCCCAGTCCAGCTCTGCCGCTGATTTGCAGTTTGACTGCAGGCCTGTCAGTTCCCCGTCTCGCAATCATGTCACTGACCCGCCTTTGCAACGTCCTTTAGAGTCTGTGCCTGAAATATCGGGGCTGGGTCCTAGTGTGTCCCGCGGTTCTTGGCCCACTTGGCTGCTGGGCTCCAGAGCCCATCCCTCATTTGAGGGAGGTGGGGGTGTTTGTCTTCAGTGGGCTTATGCCCCCCTGTGTCCCTCAGCATTCAGATGGCTGGCACTTTTCACCAGCATTCAACGGGCACGCACATAAAGAGGCAGGAGCGATGCTGGAGAGGGAGAACCCTGCAGGGGTCCCTGTGCTGTGTTCCCACGCCAGCTGGGAGCCATCAAGGTGGGATCTGCCTCACTTCTAACTGGAGCAAGGTGTCGCGGACCCTGGAGTAGAAGCCTTTGAGCATTTTGCAAAGTCTCGTTTCCGTCCCTGTGGGCGGGTGAATGCAGGTCTCCGTGCCTGGTGCCCTCCAGCCCAGCCATTCCCCAGTCTCAGGCTGGAAGGGGTTTGTAAACGTTCAGTGAATTTGGCTCAAAGCCCTGGGTTGCACCCAGCAGCCCCTACGTGCCTCCAGGCAGGCCCTGCTCAGTGTGTCTCCCTCTCTTTAGAACAGGGGTGGGCAAGAGGGCCTCCGTGGGCCGGATCCAGCCTGCCAGGCGGGTTGACTCTGCCCGCGGAGGCCCTGCTGCTCTGCTGCCCCCAGGTCAATCAGGACCTGGGGGCAGGAGGAGCATGCGAAGTTTCCTCCACTCTGCCCCCGCCCTGCAAGGGGCGCATGACCCTTAGAAGCACCACACACTCCTGGCAAGGCGGGAGTAGACTTCACACGCTACCCCGCCCCCAAGCCCTGATGGGCAGAAGGGGGAGTGTGCGAAGTCTCCTCCCACCGCCAGGGGCATGGGCTCCTAAGGGGAACCTCTGGGGAAGGGCAAAGGTGCTTCCCCACCCTCAGACCAATCATGATCGATGGGTGGGGAAGCAGAGAAGTATCCTGGCCCCGCTTGAGGTCCCTTCCAGTGTGGCCCGGGGGCACTTAAAAAATTTCTGAAGTGGCCCCCGGCAAAAGATTATTTCCCACTCCTGCTGTAGAAGCATGGGGAGTTCCTTGAGAAATCCTGCCGGAGAGCTGGGATTCCGATCCCCTTCCCTGGAGAAGGATCTAAGCGTTTAGGGAAGCCACCAAGGGAATCCAAACATCCAGAGGCGTAGGTGCCCCTGGCTGCAAAATGAGCCCCTGCCTGATCGGGGAAGCCAGAGAGACTGTGGCAGAGGCGCAGTGCTGGCTGTTTGAGCTAAGAAGACAGCCCAGTCTAGACCTCACACAGCAATAGCCACCTTGTTATCTAGGTGGGAATAAACCACTGAGAACCGAAAAAGAGTCCTCCAGAAACAGGCTTGTAGAGAACACCACCTGTCAGACACAGCAGGTGGCCTTTGCATGCAATTATGAGTGCCCTGGGCAGGGTTCCCGCTAAATGTTCCCATCCATGTGCTGAATAAATTTTATTCTGCGCACCAAGGCATGTGTGGATGTGCGCCACCCATAGAAACACGTTCTGCTGGCCGTGGGCGCTGTCAGCTCTCTGCTCAGAAGCTCAGTGGCACTGGAATCTCTCCTGGGTAGCCTCCCCAGCCTTCAGCGTCCAGGGAACCCTGTCCCTGGTTCTAGTCTAGAGAATGCAGCGGTGGCTGGATTTCAGTGCAGTGCTTGGCACATCATGTGTTCATATCGTCCTTGGAAAGGTCAGGCAAACAGGCTTGGAGGTTACGCCGTCACAGGGGTTGAAAACTGGCTAAAGGGGTTAAAAAGGCAGATGACAGGCAGCAGTGGGCTGAGGGAGTGGCAGGGATCAGGGCTGGGCACTGACTCACTTAATACCTTTGTTAATGGTCTGGAGCAGTGTTTGTTAAACTTTTTAAAACTGAGGAACACCAAATAAATTTTTTTTTTATGAGGAACAAAAAGAAAAATGGGTTGGGGGTAAAGTTATTGAGCAAAGCCCCAGTACTGGGACACATGTTGCTACAAAATGGGGAGGAGCTGTGAGCACATGGGAGGGCGGAGGGAAACCAGATCAGACAGGGGCAGCAGGACTAAGATGAAGGGGAAGGCAAGTCCTTCCGAAACGACCAGCCCGGCCCTGCCCCCACGCTGCCCTCAGCCCATCCCTCTTCAATGAGTCTCCCCTAGAGCTGTCTGGGATTCAGCCTTGCCAAGGCTGGGGCGGTGCCACCAGCTCTCTGGGGGCTGGGGAAGCTGGGGCCAGGTACCTCCAGCCTTGCTTCTCCCCGCATGCTCTGGCCAGGGCCGGGGAGGCTGGAGCTGCCTGCCCTTCTCCCTCCTGTGCTGGCGTGGGGGAAGGTTGTGGCCTGCCCTTACAGAGGGGTGCTACATGGCTCCCATGGAGTGCTGGGCGACAAGGGTGGGGTTCACCCGTTGCTCATGAGAGCAGACCTGGGCTGAGAGAAAATCAGCCGATGCTCAGAGTGAGGGAGAGAATGCAGCAAAGCTGCCCTGCAGAACGAAATGGGGGTGGCGCCAGCGAGAGGAGACTCACGCTGCTGTCGGGACACCGGTGCGGCTTTGAGCTGTGTCCACAGACACATCGCATCATGGGCCAGGAGAGGTGACACTCTCTTTCCCATCCCTGCAACCTGGCATTGTAGGCACCTTGGATCAGGGAGCTACTGGCAAAGGGGAATTCAGAGGAGCGGGGCCTGAAAGCATTAATGCCTGACTAAGGCTGGTCAAGTTCCCTCTGTCTAGTGTGGCTGGGGCAGGGGAAGAAACACCAGATGAAAAAAAAAAAACCCGAGAGGAGGAGAACTCTGGGATGGGGCAGGGGGAAAGGGTAGAAGTGGGAGGAACTGGGATGAAATAAAAAACAAAACCAAACCCCTGTCCATCCAGGATAGTTCAGAATTTCCGCTTCTGAATCTGGCTAAAACCACAAGGCAGCTGCATAGAAAGGGAGGAAGGGAAGTTACTTTATTTTTCAAACTTCTAAGAGTTCCAGCTTTGGGCAGAGCTGGGGGTTCGTTTGTGTGGACAGGCCTTGTGGGAGGAACTGGGATGAAATAAAAAACAAAACCAAACCCCTGTCCATCCAGGATAGTTCAGAATTTCCGCTTCTGAATCTGGCTAAAACCACAAGGCAGCTGCATAGAAAGGGAGGAAGGGAAGTTACTTTATTTTTCAAACTTCTAAGAGTTCCAGCTTTGGGCAGAGCTGGGGGTTCGTTTGTGTGGACAGGCCTTG